GGGCAGCAAAGATTCAAGATGGCGAGGAAAAATGAGTTCTTCTCCAAAGGCTGAACATGCCAATGTCTAGAAGGCCCCTGATATTTGGGGGAAAATTTTTTTCAATCACTAAAAATTCATTGACTCTCAACTGTGCACCCTCTGTGCTTGGCACTGGGGAATCAAAGATAAATGTCAAGTCCTCTTTTCCTAAGGACTTCATATGTATAAGAATTGTTATTCAGAAAATTACAGGTGCTATAATATAATAATGTTATATATAATGATAGATGAAGTACAGTGGGGCCAAAGTGAGGAGTTAATTAGTCCTTATCCCTCCCCTGCTTAAACTCCCAGTGGGAGGCCACTGCACTGGAAATAAAATCCAGACTCTTGACCATGAGGTACCAGGCCCTGTCCTGCCAGCCCCTTCCCATCTCTCCATCCTCATCTCCCACCACACCACCCCTACTCACTTCACAAACCTTGTTTCTGTCCTTAGACATAGCAAGTTCCTTCTCAGCCTAAGGCCCTGCCCTCAATCTTACTTGGCTGCCTCTTTCTTTATCATTCAGGCCCCAGCTCAATATGCCACCTCTTCTGGCCGCTATCTACATAACCCGCCTCCTCCATCACTCCCTATGCCATTACCCTGTTTTATTTTCTTCATGAGACTTTTCGCTATCTGAAGTTGTTTGTTTATTTACATAATTATTGTCTGTTCCCCTCTCCTTTCCCTTCATGCCCCCCCATGCACTAGAATAGGGGCTTCATGAGAGCAGGGAAACTCATCTGGCTTGGTCACCCCTCTGTCCCTGTGCCTAGAGCATCGCCTGGAGGCTGGCACATAATAGACGGTCATCAGGTACAAACTTGCTCCAGAGAAGACATGAAAGATTCACCAAAGAAAAGTTATAGGTGAAAACTCTGCCGAGGACAGGGAAGGCGGGGCAGTGTTAGGGGTGTGGGGACCCAGGGTGCAGGTGAAGTGTGGAGATGAGGCAGGAGGAGCCACGTGGCCCACACGCTTTGTTTGCAGAGAGTAGGACTCAAGAACCCAGAGCCCAGAGCTAGAGAGCTGGGTCAGAGGCCAGTTCCGTCCTTACCAGGTATGTGGCCTGCGGCAATTGCTGAACCCCACTGTGCCTTTGTTTCCTTGTTTTTAAAAGAACCGATAATTCTTTCTATGAAGAGAGTAGAAAAGGCCCCTCTTCCTAGGCTAGTGTGAGGATTAGAGTCACTACATAGAAAATGCCTAGTGTGCCGGCTCTATAGTTAGCTAAGCATTCGTACTGTGCACTAGAGAGGAATCACTGAAGTCTGAGAAATATAGAGTCATGGGATTCAGGTTTGTACTTTAGAAAGATCAGGCTGGCAGTGGGGAGGATGGACTGGAGGGCGCTGAAAAATTAGTCAAGGAAACAATTGTGTAGGCGAGATGGACTATGACAAGGCAGTGAGGACGATGCAACAGTTTTTAAGACAATGGACTCAGTCATCAGTTTGGGGAAGGAGGTGAGGGAAAGAGACAAGTCAGTCATGATTCCTGGATTTGAGGCTTGGGCAACTGGGCGGCTGGTGGTGTCATTCACCCATCCAGGAAATACAGGGGGCGGGGGGGGGGCCAGGTTTGGGAGGGTTGGGGAGGGAGGGTGAGGAAGCATGGTTTGTTCAGCTGTGGCAGGATGAGTTGGGGCGCTGTGAGAAGCCCAGGTGGAGCTGCCCAGCAAGAAAACCCCACATCTCCCTGGATCACAATATGAGCTAATGTGCTTAGCGCTGTACTTATTGGTACTTAATACATGTGAGCACTGAATATTTAGTGCTTATCATCTTTGCTTTCTAAGCAAATACTGTGAGAAACATCTTTGACCACATCTGAGTTTTTCCTTCTAGATTTCTATAAGTAGAGTCACTGGGGCAAAGGTATGTTACCTTTTGAAGATTTTAATTCATCTTGACAAATTGCTTTTCAAAAAGGTTGTACCAATGTATATTCCCACAATAAGCTGGGATTCTTTAAAAACAGCTTCAATGTATTTTTTATAAATACCACCCCAAAGTTCCCTGGGTATGGGGAACAGTCCTCTCGTGTGCTACCAATGGACCTGACCAATGTCAGCTCTGTCCTTAGAAGCTGCTAGTTGCCTTTGTTCTAGGGAAAGCCCTCCAATCAATGTCTGGTATTAATTAGCGTGTTGCCAATACCACAACCCAAACTATATTCTTGGAAGTATGGCAGAGAGTGAAATATAGACACCCCACATAAACACTCCCCTGAGGCTTGGGGATGGGGGTATGAGGAGAATGCACTTACTGAACAGGAAGCTCGGCTGTACCAAACTACATGATTTTAACAGTATTTTCCCCCAAAGAATGGGGTTTCTTGTAACCTTCTTTACCATGATTTAGTGTATGCACGTGCATGGAAGTCCCATTTCCTTTGAATCAGTCAGTGCCCTATGGGAGGGCCCCATGTGCTCATCAAATACAATTCTAACCCAGAACGAACTAAACTTTGTTTTTAATACATGTATCAATAAATTTTCATCGAGAAAATCTATTTTCACTGAAGACAGTGTTTTGGTCAGTTCTGCAGCTGTTTATGGTAATTGTTGGCCATTCAGTGCCTTGGATGGTTGTTATCGTATTTCTCACACTGTTTGCACACAGCCGACATACCGCAGTACGGTAACAATACCTGGAGAAGTGTTTAGTATGCTTAGTTTCCCTCTCTGTGAACACTTGCTGTATGTTCATCAGACTTAGATTTGTACATTAATGTGGTTTTTAATTCTCTGTTGTCTTTTCCAGAGAGTCCTTATAAAGGAAACATGGGTAGGCTGTTCTTGTCCATGTGTTGTATTGAATTGAATCTTTGTTTTGTATTTTCCATGATCCACTGGAGGCCCCTTAACCAGGGGGCCCTCAGCACCAATCCTTGCCTCTTCTGTTCAGAGCATTAACCATCCATCCAAGTCTGAATAGAGACTCATACTTACTTTTGGAGAACTTTCTTATACCTCATCCACAGTCACTGTTCTAAGAGGTTGACAAAAGGAGGCCACAATTTTTCAAAGGAAATTGGGTCTAAAGTGGGACTCTTGGGAAGGAGGGAAGCAATAAGGATCCATCATCATTCCTCCAGTGTATGTCAGTCAGGGGTGTCTCCATCGAAGAATGGGGGAAAGATGATCCTTTGCTTGAAGGTGAACTTGGTACCTCCAAAATGGCCTCCTTGACTACTGGGATTGTCATAGTGCTTGAAGGAAATTGCTGTGGTTGTTGTGGGGAGCTGAGTAGAATATAATGCATCCCCATATTAGAGAGTCAATCAGATGGCGCTGGTCCTCCAGGAGCTTTCTGCTTTTACATTAAACAGTGTACTGCCCATCCCTTTTGTTCGTTTGTAACATGGGCTCCCCAAAAGAACACTCTGAGAAAAGTCTGCACACAGTGTTGACCCCATTTACCACAGGTGTCTTGAGATCATAGGGACCCTGCTTGTTGTTGTTGTTCTTTACATCCTTTGTATTTATTTCCATACACTAGACGCAGATTATGCTATAAAGCTATTTTGTGATAAGAAGAATTGAGAGAGGTAAAACCAAATCTCTCTCTCTAGCTACAAATTCCTCTGGAAATAGGTAAAGAGACCTACCCATATTTTTAAGAAATTAACCATACTATGCAGTTCTGGCTATAATGGTAATTTACAGAATGACAGAATTTTAGATCCAGGGTGTACATGGGAAGTGGGCTAGTCAGTGTTTCTTTAAGTGTATTTGTCAGAACTCTGGCCTCTAGGACAAACATGTTTCCTAGAGGGACCACCCAGTGGCATAGTGGTTAAGTTCCCGGGCTCCAGTTCGCAAGCACCCGGGCCAAATCCCCGATGCAGTCCTACACACCACTCATCAAGCCATGCTGTGGCCACCTCCCACATACAAAAGAGAGGAAGACGGGCACAGATGTTAGCTCAGGGCCAATCTTCCTCAACAACAACAACAAAAAAAGCATTTCCTAGAAACAAGTTTGGGAAACCCTGCATGCTGTATCTCCCTTCCTTTGAATACTCACAATTAAAAGTCAACTCTAGGGACTGGCCCTTCAGCCGAGTGGTTGGGTTCCTGTGCTCTGCTTTGGCAGCCTGGGGTTTCGCTGGTTTGGATCCTGCCCTCAGACATGGCACCGCTTGTCAAGCCATGCTGAGGCGGCATCCCACATGCCACAACTGGAAGGACCCACAACTGAAAATACACAACTATGTACCGGGGGGGTTTTGGGGAGAAAAAGGAAAAAATAAAATCTTAAAAAAAAAAAAAGTCAACTCTAAGTCAATATTGCCCAAACTTATTTACCATGAAGTCTTTTTTCCCTGTGGAAGAGCTGTTAACATCCTGCTGTAGGAAATGAGTCCAGTCTCCTAGCGGAGGTCCAGAAAATTAAGCCACTTGTCTGAGGTAACAGAGCCAGCAACGACAGGAGGTGAAGCCATTCATGGTTGACAGCCCCCCTCAGATCGGCTGCGTATTTGTATTGACAGCAATGGCTTCAAAACATTTCAAGATTATTTTTTTTCCTTGAAATTTATTTAAAGACTCGTTTCTAAAGTATCTAGGATCCTAGTTTAATTTGAGAGATTTATCCCTCAGCAGATGGAAAATGTGTCAATTGGCCTATTCAATTCAGTAGTACTCTTTATTCATAAGCATCAGAGATGGAAGCTGAATAGTAAGCACGATGGAGAACAACGTGCTCCTGAGGGTCTCAGTCTGAGGGGTGGGAAGGAAGAGTGCCGGGAAGCAATGAAACAAGCAGATATGTAATTACAAATTACGATACATGCTACGAAGAAAATGAACTATGTGCTGTCAGACTGAGCTTAAATTTGCAATCAGTTTTTAATTGACCCAGATTCAGAAGGGATCAATAGCGGCTGTTTTTACGGTTATCTTGGTACTCAGCTCATGACTACAGTCTGAACCACCTAACAGCTCCTCCCCTTCTTGCTTTTCCAGCCGGGTGGAGCAAAATGAGAGCGCACTGAGCCGGCCCAGCCTCTCTCCCAGCCGTCCCCGACGCCCACCATGAACCACTTGGAGGGGGCCGCGGAGGTGGAGGTGACCGACGAGGCGGCAGGCGGGGAGGTGAACGAGTCGGTGGAGGCCGACCTGGAGCGCCCCGAGGTGGAGGAGGAGCAGCTGCAGCAGCACTATGCGGGCCGCCCCGCGCGCGGGCGCGCCGTCGAGGACCTCGGCGCCCAGCCGGGCCAGCCGGAGGAGGAGGAGCGCGGGGAGTGCCTGGCGCGCTCGGCCAGCACGGAGAGCGGCTTCCACAACCACACGGACACGGCCGAGGGCGACGTGATCGCCGCGGCCCGCGACGGCTACGAGGCGGAGCGCGCGCAGGACCCCGAGGACGAGAGCGCCTACGCCGTGCAGTACCGGCCCGAGGCCGAGGAGTACACGGAGCAGGCGGAGGCCGAGCACGCCGAGGCCACACATCGCCGCGCGCTGCCCAACCACCTGCACTTCCACTCTCTGGAGCACGAGGAGGCCATGAACGCCGCCTACTCAGGCTACGTGTATACGCACCGGCTCTTTCACCGCGGCGAGGACGAGCCCTACGCCGAGCCCTACGCCGACTACGGGGGCCTCCAGGAGCACGTGTACGAGGAGATCGGGGACGCTCCCGAGCTGGATGCGCGCGACGGGCTGCGGCTGTACGAGCAGGAGCGCGACGAGGCCGCCGCGTACCGCCAGGAGGCCCTGGGCGCGCGGCTGCACCACTATGATGAGCGCTCCGACGGCGAGTCCGACAGTCCCGAGAAGGAAGCCGAGTTCGCGCCCTACCCGCGCATGGACAGCTACGAGCAGGAGGAGGACATCGACCAGATCGTGGCCGAGGTCAAGCAGAGCATGAGCTCGCAGAGCCTTGACAAGGCGGCCGAGGACATGCCCGAGGCCGAACAGGACCTGGAGCGCGCCCCCACCCCGGGCGGGGGCCGCCCCGACAGCCCCGGGCTGCAGGCGCTGGCAGGGCAGCAGCGGGCTGCAGGCACCGTGGGCGGCGAGGCGGTGCAGCGGTACAGCAAGGAGAAGAGGGATGCCATCTCCCTGGCCATCAAGGACATCAAGGAGGCCATCGAGGAGGTGAAAACCAGGACCATCCGTTCGCCTTACACCCCCGACGAGCCCAAAGAGCCCATCTGGGTCATGCGCCAGGACATTAGCCCCACCAGGGATTGTGATGACCAGAGGCCGGTGGATGGAGATGTAAGTATGAGCGGGTTCGGGCTTGCTCAGCTCCACGCACGGCCAGGAGCGGAGACAGGTGCTGTGTGGCCTTGTTTGTCATTGGGAAATGACTATGAGATAAATGATCTTTGGGGACGCTAAAAACACGTCCACCGTAAGCCTCAGAAACAGCTTACGCTTAAGCGCCTGTGAGTAAAACGCAGGTGGGAGGGAGTTGAAGTGTTGAACGAGCTTATCAGACCCTTAGAGGGACTGCTGTCAATCTGTGGTCAAACTGTTCCCGGAGCGCCTGTTCAGAAATTAATTTCTAGGCGCACCAACCCCCGCCCCTAGTTTCTCCTTTAGAAGGTCTGGGGTGGGGCCTGAGAATTTGTATTTCCAACGTCAAATACAAAACAGGTACTGATTGAGTAAGGAGAGACTTTATTGGGAAGGACTATTGCCACGGAGGAATCGCAGCCGGGAAGATCTGAGGAGGTCTCCGGGTTTGGGCAAAAAGGGGGTTTCTTTTCTAGGGAGGAGTAAACAAGGCTAGAAAGAACAAGACGTGAGGAAGTGGGTTGAAAGAGTGGCTTGAATAATGCAGTCAAGCAGAGGAGAGACTGTTTTAACCTGAGACCAGCCCGTTCTCGGAGGGGCTGTTGAGGAGGGGTTGTCGGCTGGCCAAAGTTCAGGGACCTGGAGGAACGAGAGAAGCTTAACCAAAGGCTGCTTAACAAGCATTTTGTTCTGATTAATCAGTTCAGCCAGTCATTTGTGAGGCAAAGAATGGGAATTCGAAGGGTCTGTGTCTAGCCTTGGGGACTGGGGGTGGGGGGCCGGTCCTGTCTAAGTCGCCTGGGGAAGTGGGTTCTTTGCAGTAGGCAGTTTCCCCAAACACAAAAGGTGGGGAGGTTTCCTTAACCTTCGCTGTTTTCCAGGCTCACGGGGCTCAGGGGAAGTTCAGCATTGCCACTAACAAGTTCCCAGGTGCTGCTGGTGCTGCTGGTCCCAGGACCACAGTGAGAACCGCTGCCTTAAAGCAGGCGCGTAAAGGTTTGGGACAGGCATGTGGCCTCTTTGGAGGAAATCCTGAGCCCTGTCCTTCCAGGGGTTTCTCCAGTTTTTTCACTCACCCAGTGCTTCATGGTTGGTTTCAGTAAGTGTTTAATTTTCACTTCTGTTCGTCCCAGAGCGTCCTTCTCACTTTACAAAAGACAAATTTGCGTTTTAAACTGAATTGTGCTTCCTCCTGAAGAGGTGCGGAAAGCTGTTGCCGCCCCGTCGACATTTTCCATTTTTGAAATACCCAAGAAATTTGATAACGTGGCAAGCGTGGGTGTCACAGTCTATTCAAAATAAATCAAGAAGACTAACCTTTGCCCCCGCTACCTGGCTCTAAATAGTGTCTTTCTACACTGACGCTCACTTTTCCATTCTCTTGAATAATTTTTAAGCAATTTCATTTAAAATGGGAGCTTGCAGTAGAAGAAAGGTCAAGAGGTTAAATTCGATTTCATTTAATTCTGTATTTTATGATTGCACCAGGCTATTTCTCAGTATATCTTTGGGAGTGAGAAACCATTAATGCAAGCTGTTTGTTCATTTTACTTATACGTAAAGGGCTATGCAGGTCAGCGAGGTGTCATTCACCTCCTCTTTTAGTAACAGTCAACTTTGCTGTTAGCTGATTAAGTCGCTGGCACCCTTAAGGAAAGGTTGGACACTGGTCGAGAAAGGATCTGCGTGCTCCCCAGCAAGGGGGCAGCAATGGGTCAGCGATGCTCTGTAATCTCTCCTCTGTTTTCCAGGCTTCACATTCAAACGGTTAAAAACAGGTGCGCTCACATCGAGAATTCTCTATGACCTCCAGCTCCCTCCAGATTTCCTCCTGGACGGAGGGATTGCACCAAGCATTTGCAAAGGTTTTCAAAAGTAGGGAGCTGGCAAGAGGCCAAGTTCTACATCCTTTTAGAAACTTGGAAAGCCATCAGAGAAGAAGCTGCAGGAGCATTTGGTCCAGATGCTGGCCACTTCCTTCAGCTTTCTCATGGGCACCAGCTCCTTGAAATGTCCGGCTTAACCATGTCGTCCCTGAAGCATGACAGTGAACCCAAAGCACAGCCTTCACTAGGGCTGGGGGCTGGGTTTTCTTCATTTGAACTAGGAGAACAACTTAATCCTCTTGCTTGATGTTTCATTCAAAGAGTAGAATTAATTATAGAATATTGAATGATGCTTTAGAAACCTGTACTGTCAGAAATTCAGCTTAATGCTAAGAAATTGGTGAGCAGGGCTTACTGGATTATGAATAGTTAATAGAAAGCAAAACCGAAACCTGTGCGTTAAAATATTCCCTCCAGTCATTTTTAAGCCATTTGAATTGGTGGGTTGTATTTCATCTGTCATGCCATATTTATAGGAAAGACTTCATTTGCTACCTCTTTGATGGTATTATAGGGGAAGAAATAGAAGCATATACATTCTGCTGATTTCTACCTCAACATCAAAAAATATTTACCGAATGCTCATTTCATGTATGCTGTTGTAGAAAATGGAAAAGTACCACAATGTGTTAAAAGCAATGTGATCTGAAGTCTGTCTGGGAGGTACTTGTTAAAAATACAAATTACTGCCTTTCCTTTCCAAATCAGAAGACCTAAGGTGGGGCCCAGTGATCTGGGTTTTTTGCTTTGGTAGGTTTTTTTCTGGGAGGGGGCTGTTGCCTTGTTTTGTTTCATAAATTCTCTGTGTGATTCTTAAGTGTGTAAAAGATCATGTGGGCAGTTTCCCCACGTAAGATCTGTGGATTTGAGACTTAACTACATCTTTTATTAGCACAGATACGGTTTTAACCAAAGGGGCTGTCCTACTGTGATGATGGTCGGCAGACCTGGAGGAGTGGCCCTGGAATTCTTATTACAAAAGCAGTGCCTTCTCAAAATGGCACGCTCTGAAAGTACAGTGAAACAAATCGAAGGAGGTAAACAAACACCTGTATTACCACTTGCCAGCCGTAATGGCTGATAGCTAAATCTGCTTCTAACACTACCTTTAAATCCCTCAAAGCTTTAGCCTTTTTCTCTTCACTTGGAGCAAATTGGCATTTGTTGGCTGGTGAGCTGTACAGCACCTGAAGATAGGATTGCTCATTAGCAAGAACTTAGCGAACACGTCCTAGATGCTCAGCACTGAGTGAAAGTAATTGTTTTCTGAAAATTTGAAAAAAATGCAGTGCATTGCTTCTAGTAAAGAGTTTCTCTTTTCCAGGTATATTTGAAAACTATCTCCCAACCCACTTCTTGAAAAATATCATTAATGAGTGACCAGTTCTGAAAGGTTCCACAGCCCACCGATGTCTCTGTAGGCAACAGAATCATTCTGAGTAGGGAGCAGTCATGGGAGAATCAGAGAAGGGTGGTGGCAGGGACTCAGCGTAAATGGAGGGTTTTGGCTACTTGGAGTGGTGTGTTGTGCAGCTTGAAATGGTGTTTATCTCTGCTCCCTCCTAAAGCTACACTAAAATGACAGTAAAATAATAAAAATATGGAAAACCACAAGCACCAAGAGACAGAGGAAACAGCAGCAGATGAAAACAACAAAATTTTGCAACACCAAGGTGATGACTGGCTGTGGGAGACGTTAGTGCTCCCCAGTATTTCCCATTGTCCTCTTCTTTCAAGCACAGGGAGGACCGCTCTGCACTTCCTCATCCCCTGGAAGTTAGGCATAGCCAGTGAAATGGGAGCAGTGAAGCTTGTTGCTACTTCTAGGCAGGAGCAGCTCAAAGCATGCTTCCTCCTCTGAAGCCTATGTTAGGGCCGTGTCACAAGATGGCAGAGCCTCTGTCAGCATGGGTCCCAAGTGCCTGTGATGAGCAGGGCTACCAACCCTGTGGACGTGTACTGTGGGTGAGAGATGAATCATCCTTTGTTGTTTTAAGCTGTGGGGATTTGGGGGTAGTTTGTTACCACAAGATAGCCTGTTCGATTCTGACTAATAATACTCTGATGAGCTTTCTGTTTTCTCTCCTCTGCCAAGTTGTCTGTGAGGCTTTGTGCTGTGGACCCCAAGAAAGGCTCAGGAATTTGAGATACCAGATACCAGGAGTATGGGAGTGTGGTTAAAAAAAAAACACCATTATTTGAAAGTCTGTTACAGGAGACATTAAATTCCAGGTCCCTTCTCCAGCCCATGCAGCCAGGCTTAGAACCCACCCACCCCCAGCCCCCAGGCCCCTCTGAGGAAACAGCCCCAAGAGAAAATACCTACAGATACTGATGTTGGGGGATTTCCCAGCGTAACACCTGGGTCCTCACCTAATCACCCCACAGTGAAGGTTACTGCCACCCACGGATCTTCCTAGAGGCCTTTTGGTGACCCACTCTTAAATATGATTGTATAGCTGAGGATCACCAGACATTTGAAGAAGGTCTCTAATATGAAAGACAAAGGCACACAAATAGAAAAAGAAACTTGGAGAAATAAAGGCAAGGCTCAGAGCGGGAGAAAAACTATAAAACACTTACACTCAATATCCTCAGAAAGGGAGATGATAAGGAAGCCATTAAATTAGAATAGGATGCCATTTAAAAGGAGAACATTCTTAGAAAAAAACTCAAACGAAGAAATATGACAACAGAAATTTAAAATTCAAATAAACTTCAATAGGAAGGTTTGAGGATAAAGTAGAGATTCTTCAAGAAAGTATAAGAGTTAAGACAAAAGGGTTAAAGTAGTAAAAATATAGATAAAATGGGGGGAGAAATTATGAAAGACTGTTTCCTAGAACCAAAGGACATGAGAATTTCCTGATGAAAAGATTCCACTGGGTACCTAGAACAATGAAATAAACAAGACCCCACAGAAGTTTCAGAGCAGAAGGGAGAAACAGAAGACCCTGCAGGGTCTCAGAGAGGTAAAAACAGGTTACCGGTGCTCAGGGATCACAATGGTGTTGTGCTTCTCTGAAGCAACACTGGAGATTGGGAGGCCTACGCTCAGTCTGATTTCCAAATAAGTGTGAAGGTGAAATAAAG